GGTCGATAGATTGCACTGGGTAATAAAAACTTAAATTAAAAGAATAAATTAAAACCTTAACCCTCAAATCATCAGCTATTTTTTTGTAGCGTTCACAATCGTTGGAGACGACTACTGGAAAAACAAAAAACAGTGAAACCATTCATTTTCTATGTAAAATATAAAAAGCCCCCCCCCAGCAGTAATTAGAGTATTAATTGCAATATTGATGGTATTTTTATGTAACCAACAAAATCATGGACTCGTATGTAATGTGGCCCATAAAAAAATTTAGAAAACGTGTTTAAAAAACCAATGCGGTGTATCATTAATTCTAGAATTAATACATTATTCGATCGTATAGTAAGAAAATTACATAAAAAAATACATTAAATGTCAAAGTCTAAAACCAATGATTTCAGAATAGAGCACAACCTAAAGGGTTTCGACAAAGTTGTGACGTTTTTATATTTTTCTTTAGCTTTATTTATGGCTATTTCACGTTTACTTTGTGTTATGTTCCTACAAGATTTATTGTTTTTAAATAGCACATACTAACATTAATCACTGAGGGATTAAACTGCTAAGTAATGACAAAGTAGAGGGGAGAAGGTACATTTAAATGAGTTTCTTTTGATTAGTGATATCATGTATACGTACCTTTAGGCGGATTGATGGGTATACCTGACCTGTAGAGGCTTTCCTCAGTGTGCCAGTCTTGATTTCTTCGAAATGTTCGAATTGAGAAAAGAACCAATAATAACACCAAGACATACAATAACGTTCTGCGTCTTCTAGCACTTTCCTGGTGCCTGTACAGTTGTTCTAACCCTAATGCAATGAGTAGACAGAAGCCCATGCTGGGTATGTAGAGAACACGTTCGGCGACAACAAAGCCCACGTAAAAGAACAAGTTGGTGGCTGGAATGAATGGTAGTACTAGGAGAGCCAGAGAGTGGATCACAGCCTCCAGACGATAAGAATTGGCTATCGAACATTCAGTACACTCGGAGACAATTGAGTACACAGATGGCTGACACAGCGATTGTTGTATATGACAATTACCATTGGAAACACGGTGTCCATTACAGTTTGACTGAGGGGAAACATGACTGTTATTATTGTTGTTATTATTCAATATAGGAACACACTTTTTATATCTCTGTGCAGACCCACTGTGGCTGGAATAAAAGGTAAGTTTTGGACTCTGATTCACAGTTTGACACAAACAAGCATGAGTGCTCACTAGACTAAAGGCACTTTCTGAAAGAGCTCCTTTTCTAGACAAATGTTTATGTACATAGAGAAAAATATAAATTAATCCCCCATAGAAACAAAGAGATAGAAGGTTCCTTGGGTCTAAGATGGAGCAAACGAGGGGCACAGCTTCCATAGACCAATCAAAGCTCAACCACATTGGACATAACAGGAGCCAAAAATTGAAGGCTGGGAGATAGAGAAACGTTAACATTCGAGTGACAAAACTATCACAATCTGCTGCTGGGTTGTCTGCTGGGGCGAAGTCTGGGGGTTTTCTGCCCATTAGGTGAACTCTGAACCCCACTAGCACAACTGCTGCCCCCACGAGGTGAAGGAGTCCTTCGCGAAGACCTTGGTAGCGTTTCTGAAATACACAAAAGCTAAAGTAAGCAACAATGATCTTAACTAAATATTTTTTTATTTTACATAAACAAGTTCTGCGTTAATGAAGTTAGTTTATGGTCTCTACGATCAGCTAACTTTTCATAACATTTTTAATTTCTATGTTTCTTTTTATTTCTTTTTACATTAATAAAATATCCACTTCAAAATTAACGATAATTGTACTTTCATTTCATACAATTATCTTTAAGTCATAACCCACACCCAAAGGACAGCTTGTTTCTACAAGAAACCAAATATTAAGTTCGACTATCGCAATTTAACTAACCATAACCATTTTATATCAGCAACAAGTTCTTACCTGGTACCGATATCATAAGAAGACTTGCATAAAAGTTGAAAACAAATTAAATCACTCACCTAAAATTTATTTTCGCATCAGTAAAACCTACAACTTTTATTATGACACTATTAGAAATCAAGTATTCGTACAACATCTGATGAACAAATCAGTTCATTGCTTGCACGTACAAGGTATTTATTTTAGCCCATGAATATAAATCAGATCCCTTTAGTGGAATACTATATAATCATGTGTTTGTTTCAGCTCAAAGCTACCCAATGGGCTATAGTTTTCCGTCAGAGATGATAGAACCCCGAATTGTAACGCTGTAAGCTGTGAAGTTTGTCGTTGATCTATTGAAGGGCAATAAATAAGAAACCAAAGCCTACAAACAAATGAGTCCTCGTAAAAAAAAATAAATAAAAAAAACACTTTAGGGAAGAGAATCCAATACTGGTCACTGAGGGGGTGGGGAAGCTGATTTGAATTATTTTCCTGCATTTGCGAATCAGTATTCACGATATAAATCATTTTTCAACACCGTTAACCCGTATGAACTAATACAGTAATGTGACTAGATGCATGTACTTGTAACCCTGTTGCCATGTGAGTGACACTTTCTTTACAATCATCTGTGCCTCACAGCACAAACAGAGAAACTATTGCGGTGTATAATGTGATTAAGGTCACAGAGAGCCCCTTAACGTAATATGTTGACCACTTCGTTCACGCCATAGTTACGCTGTGAAGAGCTTCGATGTATAAAGAGAGCTCTGTTTCCCAGCTGTCTCCATCTGAGGTATCAGGATTTAAGATCTTAAAATTCTCCTTACATTGTGAATCCTACTCACACGAAAGTGTTAATTCTTTTGGACAGGTGGGGTAGTCATAATACATAACATGAACCGAAAAGAAGTATCTCCAATTAGATGAGACCAAGGTGATGGGTAAAATGATAGTTTAAAACGTCATTGGACCGTTGTGGGGCTGCGCAAAGAGTCTGATGTAATTTCGTTTTTTTATGATTAAGAAGAAAACATAGATACATCTTAAAGGCAAAAGGTCCCATTTTTTGTACTTAATAGCATTTGACCTCCCCTTCTACTCACTCAAACTAACTCTTCGTTCTTCTTCTTCCCTGAAGTAAAGAAATCCCAGAAACGCCACTTCACACACACACGTGATATATCTTACCTGGTAGCGATATCATCAGAAGACTAGCATAAAAGTTGAAAAAAAAATTAAATCACTCAAAGCTGCACAATGGGCTATAGTTGTTCGCCAGAAGGAATAGAACCCCGAATTTTAATGTTATAAACTGTGACGTTTGCCATTGCGCCCTGAAGGGCAATAAATAAGAAACTAAAGCCTACAAACATTCACATTGTTGTTCTTTCGTTGACAGATTCTTTCAACTACACCAGACATAAAGAATAAACTTACTTGTTTCACTTCACAGCTGAAAAGAAAACACACTGATTCGCTCTACCGGCTAGAAACGACTATACTATTTTGAAAGAAACTCTTTTTAACTGTCTTGTAAATGCCTCGCTGATTCCACAAGTACTAGAAAACCTGAGATAAACATTTTGAACTTTATAGACCTAATTTAACGTTATCATTATTACGTGCAGCTCCATCTAGCTAACATATAAGTTGCAACATGAAAAAATATAGACTACATCAATATTGTTGACAAAACACTCTTATATTGTTGACATACGATTTGTTCAGTTAAATACTTGTCTATTAATAGATAAATATATCAGATTTCAACTTTCACAGCTGTCGAAAGAAAACTGCGGAATAAGGTAACACTCACCTCAGTTAGGAGAGCGGGAATATCCTTCGGTGTTAGACGGTGTTGAATCATCATATCGTACAGTGCGCACACCCCCAACACTGTAATACCATGTTCCTTGGTCAACATTGCTGCTGTTGCAAACACAAGAGCTCCATACAGAGTTATCCAGCGACGACCACAGTATTCAGGTTCCTTGTCGCGCCATTTACAGTACTGAATGTAGGCCTGCAATGCCAGAAGAAAAAAGAAGCAAGCTCCGACGTCCGCGCGACCTACCAATCCCGACACAGCCTCCGTGTGGATTGGATGGACGGCGAACAGTAGGCCGGCTACCATGGTAGGCAGCACGTGGTGCATGAAGATCCCTGCTGCAAAATGGGTGAAAAGCCCGGTTACAAGTACGTGCAGAAGAACATTGACTACATGGTAGCCCCAAGGATCTAAGCCACCTAGCCAGTAATTCATACGAAAGGACAGGACACAGAGCGGTCGGTAAGACTTGTGGGAGCCACTGTGGGTGAGCGGTGTACCCCAAAAATCGTCCCTGAAGAGGCTAGATAAGGGGGTGCTGGGCAACAGATCCTGATTTGTCTTGATGGCTCGGCTGTATGGGAAAAACAAACAACTTCATATAGAATCATGAACACATAAAATGACAACAGAAGAGCTTTAAATCATCGACACCAGTGTACATGAACCTTAGCATACACACAGAAGCATCAGCAGTATGTGAATAAAGTCACAGAAATATCAGCCATTGTTAATTAAGTAGAAGAACTCAAATGCTTTGAAACTTTATAAAGAATAACGAGCAGTAGCTAAATGATAAGAAAAAGTAAATCAATCGTGAATAAATAATGAAATAATAACTACAAAATTTAATTAACTGTGTTAAGCCTAATGGACGAATTTCTGACTTATACAAAGTTAATTTCATTTTATTTACAAAAATAAGGAATTATATAACCAGAGCGCATTCGAAAGGTACATCTTTATTCATCAGGGGCAAACTTTATTTAAACAGTTTTATGCCTAACACATTTGCATCAATTGGTCAGCAAATGCTTTTTATCACAAAGGTTTAGACCCTTTGTCTTAACAACATACAGATATTACATCATCTACTTCTGCGCTGATAACATAAAAACACATACATAAACACACATACAAATAAACTTAGAGCAAAGTAAAGCTGTGTTCTAAAATGGTCAAAACAAGCTTCAGCTTGTTATTTGGCTGAATAAACATACTGAAATAAACCATTACAAAATCGATAGTGCAGTATTGCAAATTGCAGTGTTTGAAAACTAAGTTAAAAAAATTCAATTGTAACCTATACGAGTATAGTATATCACTTCATAAATATTTCTGTTGATTAAAATGCATATAATATTAAAATAATTCTCATTAGTAAGAAGTTCAATTAGGCCTATACATTTTCAATGTCGTTGCTCTTACAAAGGCAGATCACTTCACAAGTGTCGATAATATTAACTTTTAATTATTTGTTTTGACTCAGATGTCCAGAACGTATCATGTACTCATAAAATTGCTGTTCCCAATCTTAGTTATTTATCATAACAATGCTACTTTTTTGCTTTGTTGTTATAAAACTGAGTTCAATCTACTATGGTAACATTTAAGGCAAGGCTTAGCTTAATTAACTACTATTATTTTTTGTACTGTTTATTAGGTCGTCAAGAAACTAATGTCGCGTTTTGGAACACTTTCATTACCCCCCCCCCCACACACACACAACAAAAATAAAAAAACAAAAAAAAACGTACATCACGTATAATAGTTAAACGAACCACCTAAACGTCACTTTAGTGTAGCCTATAT